GGTTATTCGCTTATCCGGTTGTCCCTTTGTCCTTTTGTGTTGTTGTGTTCGAGTTATTGTTCAGGAAGACAAAAATCGAACAAATGTAATCTACCGCATCAACTGTAAGGACTACTACAAGTACTATATCGGTCAAACAGGTAGAAAATTAGCAACTCGTGTGCACGAACACAAATCGGCCGTCAGAAGACACGATGCGTTCTCACTCATCTCAATCCACGAGGACCGAGAAGGACATAACTTCGATTTCGAAAACATCAAAGTCGTCGATCAGGCGCGCGCCAAGCACGCAAGAGAATTTCTGGAAGCTCGGCATTCATCGGAAAACTCGGTCAACCGACACATCGACATCGATCAAATCTACACCCCCATGCAATAAAAGGACCAATCAACGCAAAGAAGGTGGGTGGTGTCACACGTGACACGACAGGACAACAGTAACGCTTAGACTGGTCGATCAACGGCCAGCCGTCAGACAGCTCGCGTCCTTCTCATCCCCTATCGGCACAATGCGAACAAACCTTCGCCAATCAGGCAACGCCACATCACACAATGACCTATATAAAGAAGAGGACACTCGTAAGCGCTCACCCAGTTACTGCATTGAGAATGTCACCTCGATTGGTAGGACACTCGTAAGCGCTCACCCAGTTACTGCATTGAGAATGTCACCTCGATTGGTGATGAAACGTTTGCAATACAATTCAAGCTCAACGAACAACAGAACATCATATTATACCACCCGAGCTACAAAAACAACAAACAACACCGTTGTTTACAAAACTGTCATATATATATACTATTGGAGCAAAGCGAGTAAAATGGAGATATTGTCCGGACCATGTATCCTTTTGGATACACAGATGTGATTGATTCATCCGTTCTACGTGAAACTTCCAAATCCAGAAAAACGATTCTGTCTTGCGTTTCAGTATAACGGGTCAACGTTATGCTCGGATGAAGATTATTCAAGCGTTCAAATAATCTCTCCGTCTTCCTTAGAAGTTCTGCTGACTATTTTTACTGGTTTGTGTTGTTATTAGTTCCACATAGAACATAATGCCGCGAAATGATCCTGGATACATTTTGCAAACCTGTTTTTGGCTTCTTTATTCAAATTCGTTACGGGAAGACTATGCGTCCAATATCACTGTTTCGTCATCCACCTTGTTTTGTAATCTGCGTTGAATCAGGTCCTTTTGGATTCCCCGCGTATTTCCGCGCGATGTTTGGCTTCCATATCTTTTTCTCGTTGGGTTAGTACTAATTTGTACGAAAAAACCTCCAATACATTTCTAGGCCCCCAAATGTAATTGAACTTCACACTAATTAAGTTTAATTCACAAAGCCTACCTGAGTTATTACCGTTGTGTGCTACATACTCGGAGACAAAGAGAAGCGCTATAAGCAAACCGTAAGTGATGTTTGTGAACAGCATTGGACAACTGCTTGTTTTAAATCTGTGCTCTCATCACTAATGGAAACATTATCTGTTGACCGTAGTTTAGTTTTAGTTTATACAACCGTTCGCTTTGCACTTTCTTGTGTTGGTTCTCGTTACTATCTTTTAGCTACCAGTTTGGTCGATCTAAATAATGACCGAATAGACGTTAGAAAAAGAAAACCGAATAGTTATACCGAGGATAAGGTAGAGAATGCAGTTAAATTCAATTTAAGAGGAAATTGACTACATGCATGTTTGTCAAATTTACCATTTTTGATCTCCCTAAACTACTGAAGTTTGATAATTATCCCTCAATTCGTCTTCTAATACAGACTTCGAAATTTGTTTATGTGAAAAGGCCTGGCATGAGGGTGTGAAAACCCTAACCAAGAGTCTGGGTCACATAGGGTTCGTTAGGCTCCCTGGATGGGGACCTCGGGATGGTCGTAACCCATGGTTAGAGAAACTGAGTGCTATGACGTTCGTGCATTTTCTCAATTTTTTTGCAGCCATAGTTTACTGGAGTTCTTAATTTTCTCTTTGACATCTTGTGAAAAATTTGATGGTTGATTGCATCTGTCATTCTTATCGTTGCCCTAATGTAACGGTTTACCTGTGTTTGTGTGGTGTGTGACACATGCTGTTTTCGTAATAGAAATAAGTACTGTTTTTCTCCGTGAAATCATATCCCACGATTCCGGTTTTCAGTTGTATAAAATCTTTACACCTCTCATACATCAATAGTGCATTTTTTTAAAATTCAATGTTTTCATCATTGTGAATTGGTTCGCATTAGGCCATCCTAATGTAATTGCCTGACTGCTTTGAGGTGTTAATCGTTTTATTTTTGTACACACCACCACGTCTTCTCGTTTACGATCTGTCCGTGCAGGAAGTTCGTGATTGGCGTGGATCTGGGTTGCGGTCGGGGTCATTTGTCCAAATACATTTCCAGCGAGTCAGTGAATGTGCTATTTCAGTGTGATAGTGCGCTTCGTGTGCTGGTAAGTATTCCTGACTTGATCAGAGATGATCTCTGTGAAATACTATTTACGAGCAGATGTCCACGAGTTTGGGATTGTGACAACCTTTGTTCAGTTCTTTGTCCTCTATTCCCAAAGACTCAGTTTGACTCTTACTCCAAGCCGTAAAATTTCTTCAGTTTTTTTGCCATTCGGCCAATCTCATTATCCAATAACGTCAAAGTCAAAGTTTTAATATGGGAATAACTTAGAAACTCGTGCTTCTCTTGTCCCCATAGGATATTTACACAGATGAATCGTTATACGTCGACAAAGGAGCCACATCGAGTTCCGGGTAGGAGATAATAGAGAATGTAGGCTACAGTGAGTTTACGTTTGCTTTTAATGGTGTACGAATGTGAGGTGTGCCAATGCTTCATCAAGTCTCTGCTTGAAAGATTG